TCTTATTAATAAATATTTTGACTTGTGCCAAGTAAGTAAAACTTGTTTTCGTGTAGCATTTTATGTGGGTAAAAATTGTTATGTTTTGTAAATGTGCCCATAGTTAAATTTTAATATTTTTTTTGTTCTAATGCAGCTGGCACACACTTAGACAATTGTCTTTGATGCCTTAAGGCAAACTCTGCACCGAGATTACTCACTTAGCAATAGCCAGGAAGTGCGTGTAGCTTGAAGATAAGCTACGGACGTGGAGTAACAATACCCCCCCGCAAATTTTAATAGTTCTAGTTCAGAAATATTTGTTTTTATTATCGAGAAAAAGTAGAAGAGTTTTAAATTTATATTACGTGTTAATACATAATAAGAATATGTATTTGTATATTAGAAGTTTAATTCGAAATGTGAATATGAGTATTAGCATGGATGTCTTTTCCAATTTTAACAATTCTTTGAAAAATCTGTGTTTAAGCATTACCTGATACTTCTGTAGGTTTATGAATCCAAATTTATTAAAAAAAAAAAAACTGTTTTTGTTTTTTAATTGCACTAAACTGAGAATATTAACAGTCGAGCTGAAACAATACATAATGTAAATGTCTATTTCCTAAAAGCGAAAATAATGCAGCCTAGTTATGTGGCTCGTGACCTCTTATAAAACAATGTGATTTGTATATTGGCGCGAATTGGCGCGAGGTTATTTATATTGTTGTCCTAAAAGCAAAAATAATTATTTGAAATATACTGTTCATTACAGTTATGAATGAAATATTGTTTAATCAATGAGTTCAGAAATACTGTTTTGAGTCCTTATTCCTTTTGATTATTTAATTTTGTTGGACTACTAAATTTGCGGCCTCCTATCCTCTGCATCCTTTACCATGAAGACATTTTTTTAATTAAGTCAGTTCTTCCTGGCAATCTAAATATATATTTTATAGTTATCTGGGGATGTGAAAGTAAATTATAACGATGAATTCTAAAAAAAAAAAAAAAAAATATATTAGCTGTTATAACTTTTTATCGTAAATAGGTTTGAGTTCATTTAAAAAAAAATATCAATAATGTATAATATTAATTGAAAATAAATTATTGTAATAAATTATTGAACTTTTAAATTAATTTTGAGTGAGAGGAAAATGTAACGTTGCTTCCATGCAGAAATCATGGTGTGCTTGGAGACGTTTCAATGCGTTCTTTTAGTGTTAGCCATACTTTTGAAATTTAAAAGTTTAACCGTGCTTACTCCTACACATAGCAAGGCACCCCCCCCCTTGGTATTCTGGAAGTTGGCCTCCAGACTCTCACCTGAGAGGGAGTACAGCTGAATCTGTGCTCCCTACGAGAAGTGTTCAGTTTATAGTCTCTAATCCCGAGAAGAAATACATTTAGCCTATCAAGTCGCATTAGTTCGCTTAGAGTCTGTTACCCGGAGAGGAAATATATTTCGAGCACCCTCCGCGTAGCCGAGTGTCGGGATTTCGGCTTAGAAGTGGAATCCTTCCACGAATCTATAATTATCCATCTTTAAAGATGTCAAATATTTCATATTTCTCAATTTTCAATTCAATTATTCGAATTATTTTTTCATAATCTATTTTTTCACAGTTCTCAAACCTGTGCCTCAAGTATCTGAAACCAATCACGCCCATTTACAATCTGGTTGCCCAATCGGCAAACTACAAGAGAAGAAACTGTTTTGCACAACTACCGCTTCAAAGATATCTTCTTATATAGAAATTTTAAAATTTCATTTTTATCAGAATGATTATTTTGTTAAAAGGGAGCATAAAAATGTTTATTTTATTTGATAATTCTTTCAAACCGTATATATTATGGATTAATTGTAAAATTGGCTTTGACTTTATACATAACGTTAAAAAAGTGTTTAAAGCCAAAGTTTATTTTTTGTTATTTTCCTTCAAAACTGAGTAATCATTTTCCTCATATACAACTTGAAATTTTTCAGAAAAATACCGATTAAAAGGAAAATTTTATTTTATTTTACTTCGCTTTATTATAGCCACAAATATTTCAAATTAGAAACAAAAAAAATGTTAATTAGATTTAGCTTTTCGTTATTAAAAGAAGAAAAAATATTTTTGACATATCAGCAAAATTATTTTAACAATTCATCAAAATATACGTATATCTTATAAAAGATTAAAAAAAAAATATTTTTTCCTGCTTTATTTTTAAAATACTGCTTTAAATTTAAAAAAAAAAAAAAAACATTAATTGTATTATGATTATGTTTCCTTTAGAATAATTATAAATTTCATTGATAGATGGCGCTACAAAGGAACATAAGGAAAGGAATTCAGGCACTATGTTAAAAGTAACGTTTTTTTTTTTTTAATTTCAGTGTCAAAACAACAGTCGGGTGCTCAAAAGAGAAACATAACCAAACAAAAATTAGAAGAATGCAAATAAGTTTCACAACAATTTGTTGAATGGCTACAGAAACCGAGATAGTGCAGAAGAAATGAAATGTAACATAACTTCAAAAGCTAATGATACAAAACCTCATTTGACCCATTCAATAAACTACAGTTATCTGCATCTACAGCTGAAGAAATGATTCTTTTTTTTTTTTTTTTTTTTGGTACTATGAAGAGATTACTTAATTTTTTCTCGTCCACAACAACACGTTGGGACATGTTAATGAACTACTTATAATTATCACTGAAAATTTTTTACATACAATTATTGCTGGAATTTTTTTCTGTTACAAAGTGGTCATCGAAGCCGAGTGGAATAGAGGCGCAGGTATTTACAATTATCTGAAGTAATGTAAAGATTGCAAAAGATGGCAAATGATTTTTCAAATCTGGAAGCAAAAAGCTTGACTTTGAAAATTAATTGTACGTTTACTCTTTCTATATGGAATAAAATTCTATAATGCATCGATCAAACAAAGAATTCATTATAATAGAAAGATTTGTGAAAAAATTGTTGAACAAAATTAATTGCTGGATTATGTAATACATTACAAGGGCTTCGAGATGCAGGCTTTGTACAAAAATTCCAGGAAGTACAAAATTGGGCTGAAGAAATTGGTATAGAAAATGGATTTCTTTAATTGTTAACCAGCAGGGCATTGATTCGCAGATTTGGTGGACGTCTTCAAGCATGTTTGGTGATATCCTGGAGTGACCAAAGTTGTAGCAGTTAAAAAAGAACATTTTTAATGCGCTTTTATTAGTTTCACCTGTATATTTGTTTGTTTGTAACTGACTCTTTGGGCTCGATTTTGCCATACTTTAAGAGATCAGATTTAATTTAAACGTTGCAGACTTATCAAGGACCGACGATACTAAAATATTTTGATAAGTTTATTATCTCATCATGATTAGGATCGCCAGGATGAGTGATTTTATTTTAAGTTATGAAGAGCAATTTAACCCAAGTCGAATGAAAGTACCTAAGACATTCAAACCTACGTGGGACAGTGGCACAACGGATAACGCACCTGACTACGGATCAGGAGATTCCGTGTTCGAATCCTGGCTAGCTTGACGTATTCGCATTTACCCTTTGTTTTACTCACAATTAAATTATTGTAAGAACTTTAGTTCCAGTCCTCCGTACCGGGGCTTCATTTAAATATTATAGTTTAAAAAATTAAAAGACACGCTTTTAGAGTTAATCAAAGTAAAAAATAATTGTTAACATAGGAATAAAATTACTAACGAGAAAATTAGAAGTGCCATTCATTTCCTCGTCAGTAATTTTATTCTTATGTTAACAATTATTTTTTACTTTTTAGTTTGATTAACTTTAAAAGTGTGTTTTTAAACTATAATTTATTTACATTACATAGAACAAGTTACATTTTTTAACTGGTAGTTTAATACCCGTAGCTACGAGAGTGAATCATGGAGAAAATCAAAAGAAAGCCTCGTTAAATATGAGCATCAGCGCAGATGGTGTAGTGGTATTCTGCAAGATTCCCATTCTTGTGACTCGGGTTCGATTCCCGGACCGGCGCAAAATTCTAGCCTAACTTTTAACTTTAGTAAAAAAAATAAGAGTTTTCTTTTCTAAATTAATTAAATGTAGTGATTTCTGCATTTTGTTTAGATTACACCACGACAATCTGCAAAAATTTAATGCAGCTGGGTTGTTCATAGTCTTCTTCATGAGGTCCACCGATACTCAAACTTCACCTTTTTTTCAACTGGCACTGCTTTTAGAGCCCAAACTTCCGTGAAAGGAAGGACCAAACAACTGAACTTTGAAATACCACTGTGCTGTGAAAGATTCTACCGATATTACAGTGAGGATTAGCTTCATACTATTTTTAGAGTAGGTATGTATTAGAGTTTTTTTTATAATTTTTAATTAACGTAGATGTGCAAATTTCATGATTTGTCCAGATTATGTAAATCATTTTAAAGGCGAATTTTAAGAAGATATAGATAAAAAAAAAAATTCGAACTTGAATCTGGAAGGATTTTTAGTTTCTGTGAAAATGCATTTTTCTTTCCTTTGCTAATTCAACGCATCTTCAGAAGGACCATGACTTTACAGTGAGGATTAGCTTCATACTGTTTCAGTAATGTTATTTGAAATTATTTTGTTTATATCTAAAGAAAAGTGCTCCTCATCTGAACATAGGATTAGCTTTGCCGAAGTAATGTTAGGTTATTTAAAAGGCCATGCGTCATCAACTTCCATTCTCACCACGTGCATATTACAGTAAACTCCTTCGACAGCAGGCAATTCTGGTTTATAGTAATAGCAATGTTTGCAGAACATTGTCTTCATGCAATATGGAGCAACTCCTCCCTATCCAGTGCTTTTCAGATGTCTGGCCACCTCGTTCACCCGACTTAAATCCTGTGATTTCTGGTTATGGGGATTCTTAAAAGATCGTGTTTATGGAGGACAAATTAGGGATTTACCTCAGTTGAAACCCAGCATTACATGCCATGTTGCTGAAATCCCTCGCTAGTTACTTCGCGCTACCATTAAACATGCTATAATATTGAGCAGTTGGAAAAAAAAAATTCCCCTCTCGGTTCTTCTGTCCGCGCGGGGGAAACAGAAAACTGTGACCTTGGCCTCTCCTATTCTCTACTTCTTAGTGTGTGAGTAAGTAACAAGTACCTAAAGTGCCTGTTACTTCTATAAATTTAAAAAGAATATGGAGAAAACATCGCGGTTGTTTGGGGCGCGTTTCTTGGCGCGCTTTGGCGTGCGCTTTTTTGCGAACTTTGTAGAAATATAAGCGGATTTCCGTTAACTAATGAAACAAAATTTTGTTAATTTGCTCCTGCCTGCCGGCATCATGGATTCACAGGATATTTTTCAGAAGTTTATGAAGAGGCATGTACTGAATTAGGTAATGCATGTACTGAATTAGGTAATTTCTTAAAGTTAAATATTGCTGAGTTAGAATGACGTTGTCTTGACCGCATCTAATCATCAAACGATACGCATAATAATCCTTCGAGCTAACATTCTTGTTTGTTTCGGCTCCTGTAATAAGATATTTAAATTAATTGAAAATAAGTAATCATGTTCTTATTATTAAGAACATTATTCATTATTATTATTATTCCTTATTGAATAACGCACCTGTTACGGGATCTCGCTGTTTAATGTTTATGAAATATCCGTCTTGTCCCTTCCAGAAAATTAGCGCATATTGGAGAGCGTCATATGAACGGTGGGTATCAGCAATGAACTGAAGATTATTATCTCTTCTTCGAATCACGATTTGTCGCGAAGCTGAACGGTCGCCAACCATGATTCCGGCAACGTCGTCAACAACAGGTGCATTGAATCTACGTATGTGCTCTCCAACTGGTGTTTTATCAGGATTGATGACAGTAGCGTGATTATCACTTAGTAATTTGGGCATGTGAGATTTAAATAATTTTAAAAGTTCATTGTGCTCATTCAACAGAGCGTCCAGCTCCCTGACAATGCGCCTGGAAAAAGGTGAATTGAGGTTATTGTAGCCGCAACGTGCATCCACGCGATTGGCGAGTGCGCGTTCGGAGTCCTCACCACCCATAAAATAAATTTGTAAAAATTTATAAGATTCGTCTGGCATTGGCAGCAGTGAGCCCACTTTGTGAAAAACTTGGCCTTTGATTTTGAACGTCGAATTAAATTGTTGACCGTTTGCAGCATTATTTTGAACTATTTCTGTTGCTCCGAACGATGTCATTTGGAAGCATGAATTAAATGTGCGAATTGACTTCAGGAACAGGCTAGAATCTGGATCCGTGCCGATTAGTAAGCCGTACAATGGTTCAGGTGGTGTTTCAATTTCTGGTAGTTGCACTTTTCCTGATGCTCAACACAATCCGGCTGGCTCATTTTTGAATTTAAGTGCATGACAATGCGGACATTCTTTGTCCATAGTACCAATGTCCACTTTGGAATGAGCGTAATATTCAACATCGGGCTCATACTGGAATGCTAGTCGAAGGAATGAATCCGATGTAAATGCTCGATGTACTTGTTGGTGTTGTTGGTCAATTGCTCTACGTGTGTTGACTACGTATCGCTGCGCTTGTCTTTGTTCTAATCTTCTTTGTCGATTTCGTTTATCTCGTGCCTCTTGCGATTGTGATCCACGAAAGTGCACCATGCTCACACGCACATCTGCATTGTCTTCTTGGATTTGTTCGTCTCTTCTATGTGCTTTTATATTTTGCATGCCTGCACTTTTTTTCGTGCGACGACCCAAATTGGCCCCTTTGCGTCTTGCTGGCATTATTAACTCTAAATAAAACATATAAATATATGAAATTAAAGTACTTAATGGTGAAAAACAGTAAAATATAATTGTATTTTTAACGTAAAAACAAAAAGTTACTAACAGTCATAAAATTTTACGTTATCTCTCTCTTTCCAAATAAAATTTATGCTTTCGATAGTCTTATGCTTTCGAATTGCATATAACACTTACTTTACTGGAATCCCAGATTCGCCACAATAAAGTAAATTACAACACAATTACACTTGTAAGTTAAAACGCAATAACAGCCATCTTTATTTTTTTTTCTTAGAACAATAATAAAGTTGCCAATTTTGCTTAACTAAACATTAACAATTTTGCTTAACTAAACATTAAATATAATTTAATGCTACACGTGCAAAAAGAATATAACTTAACAAAACATTAACTTAAAAAACAACTTAAGACATTAACACGCGCTGCACGTGCCAATATAACAGTATGTGTTCTCTTATTATTTGACTTATCTTTAACAATGATAAAACGCATATATTTATTTAACACGTAAATATTTCTCTTTTAAATTAAAACTACTCCCACAAAAATGTTGCGTATAATATATACAGGTAAAGCAACGGCCGTGGTTAGCGCGAGTTCACAACACGTGTTGATTTATATAAGATCACTTAATTAAATAAAAGTCAAAAAAATGAAACCGATTAAAACTTTAATTTATGTTTAAGCGCGCGTGCTGTAATATCATGACTAAAAAATTAAAACAAAAAAAAAAAACACTACATTGTTGCCACTACATTGGTTTGCCAAAGAAATTTTAAAAAATATTTAGGGGTGGGCCACCCTTATCACTTAGGGGTTTAAAAATAGATTGCGACCGATTCGCAGACCTACCAAATAAGCACAAAAATTTTCATAAGAATCGGTCGAGCCGTATCGGAGGAGTTTGGCAACAAACACTGTGACACGAAGAATTTTATATATTAGATTGACGACGGCGATATGCCAGATTGACGGAGAACCTTGGTAGCTTAGCAACCTCTATCTCCTGCTTTGTGAGTGAGGTAAGTTCCTTAAGCTTTAAGCCCATTGAGATAGAAAAAAAGTAATATAAGTATATTATTAATTTATTTAAAAATTAATTATTCCAAATTTTATAATTAATTAAAAATAAATAATAAAAAAAAAATTACGCATATAAATTTTTTATATCATTATTATAATTTCAAGAAGGTAATAAAGAAAAATAGATAAACAATAAAAGCAAACAAAAACGATATTAAATATTGATACAGGCAATATTTAATTATATATATATATATATATATATATATTAAATATTGCCAGTTCCAAACATAATAAGCACTTCTATACACTAATTCTACAGTAGCATTGAATTTCTCGCAATTTCTATAGCGGCCTGATAACCAATATGCTAGCGCTTTGGTACCACAGGCTCTATGTTCGAATCGTGGTGGTGTCACGGATGCTTGCGAGTGATTTAGAATCCCCCGTTAAACTGTAGGTTCCGGTCTAATTCGCCTGCAATGGGCACAAAGGGACCGTAGAGTGACAAACCTAAATATATCTCGAAATTACTATCGGGTGTAAAATCAACAGGAATTTTATTCCTAAAAGTTGTGAAAGCATTCTGGGAGCTGTAGTACAACAGATGACTTTACAACATAATTATTTGTACACCAGGCTTCATGCTAGCAATTTGCCTTACGGCTTGCTAATCTCTGAACATATCTTTTATCAAATCCAAAGGGCACTTCTCCAAGTCTTTTTAAAGAAAATAGACTTTTAGAGTAGGGGGCGGGAGGCTTTCTCTTTCAGCGTTGCCAACTGGTTTGGTTTGTCGCTCTACGGTCATTTGTGCACTCGTTGGGCTAAACAGACAGGGACCTACAGTTTAAAGTGGAATCCGAACCACTACAAACATCCATGGCACCGCCGGGACTCGAACCCGAAACCTGTGGTACCGAGCGCCAGCTCGCCAGCGTTGCCGAATGCCCCCGAAAAACGACCCGCCTCGTCTCTGGCTGTGAGGAGCAGCTGATCGTAAATGGGGTCCGTGAGAATCTGTTTGATGTGCGAAAAAACGACCCCTGTCGGAGCGGGCTTGATGCACGATTTTCTGGTAGGTCAAACAGGTTTTAATGGGTTCGCGAAAGTCACTCGTCTCTCATCTGGACGAGGATAAGTATAACAAAATTTCATTGAACCCCTTATCAGCAAGCGATTGAGGCGCCCTCTTCCAGCTAAAATATCCTCTGT